GTTACCCTATTTGGTTCTCTAATGCCCCTAGTGGCACCCTAGTTACCCCAATTAGTTCTCTAGCACCCTCTAGTGGCACCCTAGTTACCCCAATTACTATTATGTATCATTAATATGTGTTTTTTTCTCCATACTACATCTATAATATGGAGTAATGTCATTTCTTATAGACCAAATATGTTACCTATGGTATTAATCTGCTGTTCATATTCCATTAATGATATTTGGAAGTTTTAGTTATAATCAAATCATTACAAGTGCACCTATTGCTATATTAAACAATGCGCAGTTTTATACTGGAAGCCAAAAACTGGCCAAACAAGACGAAAACAAGGGAAAAATCAAATACTTTTAATTATTTTAACCGTTTGAACCTGAAATTTCTGGAACAAATTGGAAAATATGTAAGATATAATGTAAAATCACAATTAAATTGATTAGATCTACATGTATATATTTCCTTTAAAATTAGCAAATACAAATGCATTGAATTGAAAAAATTCAAAAACGGACCCTGGGATGCATATATTGAAATGGCTGTACAGATTAATGCCGCAAAGTAATCAAATTGCACCCGGCAGATTTGAATTCAGGACACTCTAAATATACTGAAAAGTTACAAATACAGCATGCATCAAAAATTTCCATCATAAGTTGCAGGCCTGAAGACTCCTTTTCTCCAAGGAGGTGCGGTTTTTAATAAAGAGAAAATAAAATTGTCATTTTTCCGCGTAAATCAAATCGCGTAAGTCAGAGGGGGGGGGTCAGATACTCTCTATATCAAGGCCACTCAGCCTATTTTGTAGTATTTTATTGTTTTCATATCATGTTTTTGACTAAATATTGAATGAGCAATTTGGAGAAAGATTGGAAAAGCAAGGGTGTGATAGAAGGCACTAGAATCAATTTAAAGAAATCCTGATTTTTTAATCATTTTCTTCTGAGAGGAGCGAGTGGGCAGCACAGGAAAATTTTCCTAATTCAAGATGCTGTCTGGTTAATTCTGAGCACTTTTAATATGTTTGATTAAATGAATGCTATAGTTTTTGGGATGCGGTGTCAGGATTATTTATGATTTCATTTTGTCACTTGGTGATTTTTTGGCAGTTTTAGTGTTTAAAATTAACAAATGCAATTTCCAAACATTCCCAATTGTTTTGTGGGGGGGGGAGGGGTGTGAGGAGTGCCCCCACCCAAGAAGATTTTACACTTTTGAGATGCTATTTGGTGCTTTATGGGCACTTTCAAAGTATATGAATCAATAAAAAATGTGTTTCAATTTTTTCGGGGGTGTCAAAGAGGATAAAAGGGTGAGGTGGGGATGCCAGAGGGGGAGCAAAGGGTTTTCCCTCAGAAACATTGACCATTTAAATTCAAGGTGCTATTTGATGATGTCTGGGCACTTTAAAAATGACTCTGATATAATACATGGAATTCATATTTTTTCAATTATTTTGTAGGGGATGTGATGGGTGACCAACTCTCCTAGAAAATTTTACAATTTTAAGATGATATTTGGTGCTCTCTGGGCACTTTTAAAGTGTATGAGTCAATAAAAAAATGAACAACAATCACAATTTTTTCAAATTTTGGGGGTGTCAAAGGGGAGGAGGGGGTGCCAAAGGGGGAGGTAGGGCTGGGGTGCCAGAGGGGGGAGCAAGTGTTTGTCCCCCATATCTATCCCAAGAAACACTGACCATATAAAGGTGCTATTTGATGAAGTCTGGGCACCTAAATGTGTCTGAGACAATACATGAAATAAATTCAGAATTTTTGTCAATTGTTTTGTGGGGGATGTGAGGGGTGGCCTACTTCCTTAGAAAATTTTACAATTTTACGATGCTATTTGGTGCTTTCTGGGCACTTTTAAAGTGTATGAGTCAATAAAAAAGATTAAATCATATTTCTTTTCTTTTTTTTTGGGGGGGGGGGTGTCAAAGGGAGCCCGAGGGGGAGGTTGGGTGAGGATGCCAGAGGTGGAGCAAGTGTTGGTCCCCAGAAACATTGACTATATCAAGGAGCTATTTGATGATGTCTGGGCACTTTAAAAGTGTCTGAGACAATACATAAAATAAATTCAGGACTTGAGAATAGTTTTGTGGGAGTGTGAGGGGTGGCCCACTTCCCTTAGAAAATTCTACAATTTTAAGATGCTATTTAGTGCTTTCTGGATACTACCAAAGTGTATGAGTCAATAAAAAAAGATTAGAAAAAAATCCTATTTTTTTCAAATTTATTTTTTTTTGGGGGGGTGCCCGAGGGAGAGGGGGGAGGTGGGGTGAGGTGGGGGATGTGAGGGGTAGCCTACTTCCTTAGAAAATATTACAATTTTAATATGCCATTTGGTGCTTTCTGGGCACTATAAAAGTGTATGGGTCAATGGAAAAAAATTAGAAAAAAAATTCACAAAAAAATGTCCCCCAATTTTTTTTTGGGGGGGGGGTGTCAGAGGGGGGTACGGTCGCACCCGTCGCACATCCACCTGCCCCCCCCCCCCCCATCTGACGGCCATGAGTTGAAATATTGCAGGACTATATAATGTCTACTAAAATAGCATCGGTATAAAGGATAAGGATGAGGATAAAGGTACACTATTTTGTATATCTTCAGACATAGAATTGAGCAATAAAATATTTTCAATATTATTGTGATAAGCAACAGTGATATTGTTGATGTAAGTATAATATTTATCGGATATCCTATGATTTTGATTTTTAGCACTTTTCAAACCTTGCAGTCAATTTATTTCTAACTCAAATAATGAATTATTAGTAATATCTACCAATAATTTTCAACTACAAATAATGCTTCATAATCAGATAAATCTCCAAAATATCTCAAATTCGGTTGAAAAATCTACTTATGATGTCATAATAGATATGCAAATTAGCTAATTTGCATATTTTCTTGTTTATAAACAAGGGGGGCATCAATAGCTTCATTTTGATATATGTATCATTAGAATTGGATAGATAACAGGCGTTCTACGATCCGAAAGGTGATTTCTGATTTATTGATTATATTTTAAATGGTTGCTATGGAAACGGATGTTTTTGCAATTTTTGCCCCAAATTCAAAATTAGGTACAGGTGGATTTGAAAAGCCGAAGTCCTTAGCTTTACAATGGTACCTCATTTGTCCTTTTCCCCATGATGTATTTTAAAAAGTACTTTCCTGGCACATTTGGCCATTGGTTCTACTCGCCTATTACTGGTTAGAATAAGTCATCTTAACTTGCATCAATTTGCATTCAGAATGAATTGTCTATTTCTGTCACTCTCAAAACACTTGTCAGTCCTATTAATGTACAAAATTGTCACTTACAAGCATCTATTTGTCACATTTGTTCGTTTTTAAGTACCCCAAAGTCCCATTTAGTCATATTTTTAGAGGCCAGGTCGCCTTATCACATACCCCTTGGGGAGCCCCATCTGGACCAACACCATACCACAATTGTGAATTAATGTATCTTCCCGACAGGTTACCCCCTAGGATGTATCCAACAGACCAACTAGAAGTCAGTCTGTTATGACATACTACAGTCCTTAGTTCACAAAAATAAACATTATAGCACTTCAATTAAGTAGTAAGGTACAATTCAATGCTATATAAAGTAACACAGCATATTGTCAAGTGGAAATAAAGCTAGGGGAAGTAACAAATATGCAAATTAATTACTCCATCGGCCATTTTGAATAGCACTTCCTAGGTAAACAAATATTTTGAATTACCAAATCTTAACATAGGTTGCTTATACATGTAGTCTGAATATTATTCAGACTAAATAGGATATAGTTTAGGTGCCCCTGGGTAGTAAGAGTGGGGTGTCTGCAATTATGTAAGACCTAGTCTGTATCCGACAGAAGTCAGTCTGTCAACCTTATGTTCTGTCAGTCCTGTGGGAATTGTAGAAATTTTTTTCACACAATATTGATCGTCAGTTATATGAATTTTTACTTTAAAAAATAAACATTATAACAATTCAATTAAGTACAATTAAATGTAACACAGCATTTTGTCAAGTGGAAATAAAGCTAGGGGAAGTAACAAATATGAATGTCTCTTGAAAGCCCATGGCACTTCCTAGTATTTAAACATATCTTTTAATACCAAATTTTAACATATGTTGGTTATAGTCCAGAAGTCTGAATATTTTCATTACAAATTTCCCAAACATAGGAGGCTCCTGTGATCTTCTTAGACCTTTCTGATACAGAAAGTGGGAAAGTCAGACCATCATCATATCTCAGAAATCATATAATTCTGAGCAGTCTCATACCAATTGATGATTTGCAATCACCGGATGGATTCTATCTTGTAGTGATGTCATAATTAGGCCACTCAGCTTTAGATGTTTGATTTTGAGAGATTATCTTCCATATTTCGTGCTTTATTGATTTATTTTTCACAAAAGTGTTTGATTTGACTAGATCAACATTCATTCTAAGGCAAAGCACATGTCAAGTCTAACATCCTACTGACATGATTTATATAGCAATTAAGCCTTGTAAATATCCGACCCATTGCTTTCATAGAAGAAACGATAATATTTTCAGCTCAAAACTGCCATGTATCCTCCATTTTGTCCCTCCATCATGTCTAATATCATTTTTATATGACATCATACCAATAAGACGAAATACGTGAGAACAGTATCCACAAACAAAAGACTTGAATTCTGATGGCAAACAGTCAATTCCTAAAATTTGGGTCCCATTGCTATACCAAATGTTAAAAATGATACCCCATGTTTACTGAGAGTCCCCTTCAAGGCTTATACACAGTGAACCCCATAGGTGTCTAGTTAAGATCTATCATGATACAGTTACAACCCTCTCCATTGCCCCTCACTCTCTTCTGCCAGGACTCAATTCAACCTAGTCCCTATCCAACAGACTGACTTGTTATTCCATCAATTTTGACAGCAAACAAGGTGTCAGTAGAAGGTATTCAGAATGAACATACATGTACTAAGATATTGTACATTATTTGTATTTCAGACATCAATGAGTTGAACCTGCCAAAGACATGTCACATGGACTTCCCAGATCCTGATGATCTTCTCAACTTTAAACTGTCCATTTCACCAGATGAGGTAAGCTTAGATGTCTACAATATTGGGGTTTCTAGATCTCTGGAAAAAACTTAAGAAATTACTAGTTTATCTTTCAAGCAGCACTTTTATGGATAGCAGCCCTGTTAAGGATAGCAACAGTTGGAACACATATTTTCTTGGTAAAAACAAAAAAAACATGGTAAAAACACCAAATGGGTGGGTGCATTTGTGAAAATCAACAAGTGGATTTTGGTTCACAAGTAGTCCAATTCTCTGCCTGTTCATTCTCATATGAGCTGGTTCAAACAATTTATTACTACCATTGGCAATGTTTTTTTCTATCTTTTAATGCCTGAACGAAGCTTAATTTCGATTTTATCATAGACATATGAAATTCAGTTGAAAGTATTTCTTGAAAAGATGACAGATTAGTTGTGTTTACAAACAAAAAATCGAATACATGTACATTTGTATTAATAAAGTCAAACTTTCATTTCTAGGGTTTTTATAGAGGAGGGAAATTCACCTTTAACTTTAAGGTCGGACAGGGTTATCCTCACGAAGCCCCAAAAGTGAAGTGTGAAACTATGGTATATCACCCAAATATAGACCTTGATGGGAATGTATGCTTAAATATATTAAGGTAAGAAGGAATAATTTCACTAAAAAGCACATGTGACTTTTGATGATATAGGACTGTTACATTAGAGCAAAAACATTTTAATTTTCTATTTGTGTTTTCAATTTCATCACAACAAATCAAAAGGACTATTAAATCGAAGCATATTAATATAATGTCTCTTTCATATTTCAAATGAAAGCTGTCTGAGCTAGGCCTAATGCTCATATCAATTTAATTGCAGTCCATACTAGTAATTTATACCATTGGTCCGAGTACCTAACTTTGCTCTCATTTGGAATATATGGAATCACCATGTAAGCCCATTGAATGATGCCAGTTTTATATCACCTTCAGAAGCAGTGACATATTGTTATAGCCTCAAACTTCACTGTGTATGGTGTTTGGTGGTTGGTGTTTGGTGGTCAGCATCTGTAAAAAATGACAGGTGGTGACATTTTACATGTTAACGCCTTGTTGATTATCGTTACTATATCATGAAAGCATAGTAGGCTTGTATGGGGAATTCTTTTCGTATTTAATCTAAAAATTTAAAATGTAAAATCATTAGAAATTGAATTCATTGTCTATAAATATTATGCATCATTTCTGTTATAACAACTTTTACAAATTCTTTTCGTATTTAATCTAAAAATTTAAAATGTAAAATCATTAGAAATTGAATTCATTGTCTAATATTATGCATCATTTCTGTTATAACAACTTTCACATTTTCACATATTTCACATTTCAGAGAGGACTGGAAACCAGTACTCACAATAAACTCAATTATATATGGTCTGCAGTACTTATTCTTGGTGAGTAGTTGATTAGCTCACATGTTTATTTTATGTACAGTTTGCTTTTCGTTCTCATTGTTTCTGTATTTCTAAAGTTTGCATTTGCATTTATATATTTGTTAAATGCTATATAACTAAAATTCATTATGTTCAGAAAAAACGAAAACTCAATATTGAATATGTATTTAAAGTTTAAAAACACTAGATAATGTACATGTAGACATATTAAACATTAATTAAGAATTCATAAAAACATGGATTTAATTTAAATTCCACAAATTATTTCAGGAGCCTAATCCTGAAGACCCCTTGAACAAAGATGCTGCCGAAGTATTACAAAACAATAGACGGATATTTGAACAGAACGTTAACAAATCAATGCGAGGTGGATATGTAGGTTCAACATACTTTGAGAGGTGTCTCAAATGATCCTTTAAACAGACTCAGAAAAGTGGAATATCTTAGCTTTTTGATGGAAAGAACAGTGTTACTCCATTATGGGTGTGACATATTCCTATTTATAAGTATCATACTGTCAATCTCTCAGTTTGATTCACTATTTAGAAAATATAAATCTTAAGCCTTGTAAAAAGACCTAATTTGGGCACAGTTTACTGCCTATAACGGATGTCAATTTGAAGTCATTTTTCGAATGCTGTTTATAAGACAAAGTGAGAAATTAAATACTAGGGAAATGACAAATGCGATCCTGAAGAGGGGTAAATTTCAATGAAAATATGCACTATCACAATCGTCTCTCCATTTGCTTCTAACTATGCTTTATTTATATGTTGATGCGCTCTACTGCTTTGCTGCATTAGTGATCTGGTGCAGTTAAGTACATCTGTGGAGTAATGCATTCTGTTGCATATTTAGTACTCTGGTGAAACTAGTGCTCTGGTGCAGTACATGGTGTGTATAGGCTCTGGGGTATACTAGTGCAGTGGTGCACTCTTGTGGATTAGTGCTCTGGTATAGACTAGCACTACTGCACATCTGAAGAGTGATGCATTCTGTTGCATTAATGATCTGGTGAAACTAGTGCTCTGGTGCAGTACATGGTGTGTAAAAACTCTGGAGTATACTTGTGCAGTGGTGCACTTTTTCTGCCTAAATGCTCTGTTGCAGGCTAGTGCACTGGTACCTTAGTGCTCTGGTGTAGACAAGCACTAACTGCACATCTGAAGAGTTCTGTTGCATTAATGATCTGTTGATGACTAGTGCTCTAGTGAAACCTGATGTGCAAAAGCTCTGGTGTATAATAGAGCAGTATTGACTCACAAGTGTACATAAGGGCTCTTGTGGATTAATGCTCTGGTGCAGTCTAGTACTCTAGTGCATACTTTGCTGTAGTGCACATTGTTATTTGTATGCATTGTATGCAATACAGGAAGATATAATATAAATGAACCATTGCAGCAAAGATATGCGCCATTTTCTCTTATTTATGATTGTCTACACCTCACTGACTATAATAGCCTTCCAGTCTCAAAGACAACACTAATTTTAATATTCAAGTGATTTTTTTTAAATTTTCATTTTAATTTAGTTTGATACATCAGATACATAGAAGGTGAACAATCATGTTCTGAACATGTGTAAGTATGTGTATATGTATGTTATATACTGTATAAATATATAAATAACATTGTTATAAATTGTGCTTTTTGTTGTTGTATATACAGGATGTTTTCTGAGTTTTTATGTCACAACCATATTGCTGTTATTGCATTGGTAAGAATATTCATCATTGAAGACCTAGAAATCTTGTCACTACTTAAATTTTATTCAGAGGAAAATCAAGCCTGATGATCACTGTAGATTACACCATGAAAATATTTGGAGAACAATTCTGCTTTATGAAGTTTATGAACTAATTTCCTCTATTATGTTGTTCTTTAAAGTTCTATTGGTTTGAGTCTGAATATTGCTGTATTAAAATTTCCAACACGCTACTATACATACTAGTAAATCAAATCAACAGCACTTTTTTTCTTCTTAATTTTTATTTACTCTTACACTACGTTTTAAAATCATAAATCACGAGGCATTAGATATATTCATTGAAAGGTAATTTATGAGGCAATATTAGCATGTTAAACTACATGTATACAATTAAACCAATTGAATTCTTTGCCATCTATTGACAGTCCCCAAGACTATTATGCTTAAGAAACACCAAAACTTCCTCAGCACAATATTTTAATCTGGATGAGAAGAAATTATGAACAGCAGGTGTATTTATTTTCAAGTAACTGCCATCTATAGCGGCCTGGCCCTCATTGGAACAGTAATAGTTTTTAAACTATTGCATAAAAAATCCTGGGAGAATACTCCACCCGTTTTTGTTTCACATTCACATCGTGAAAAATTCAAAATAGCACCTTGCATATCAATGCAGTAAAGAGAATGACAGATGGTATTTAAAATAGAACCTACCATATCAGTGCAGTAAAGAAAATGTCAGATGGTATTTAAAATAGAACCTACCATATCAGTGCAGTAAAGAAAATGACAGATGGTATTTAGATTAGAACCTACCATATCAGTGCAGTTAAGAAAATGTCAGATGGTATTTAAAATAGAACCTACCATATCAGTGCAGTTAAGAAAATGACAGATGGTATTTAAAATAGAACCTACCAAATCAGTGCAGTAAAGAAAATGACAGATGGTATTTAAAATAGAACCTACCATATCAGTGCAGTAAAGAAAATGACAGATGGTATTTAAAATAGAACTTACCATATCAATGCAGTAAAGAGAATTACAGATGGTATTTAAAATAGAACCTACCATATCAGTGCAGTAAAGAAAATGACAGATGGTATTTAAAATAGAATCTACCATATCAATGCAGTAAAGAAAATGACAGATGGTATTTAAAATAGAACCTACCATATCAGTGCAGTAAACTGGTAAACCGAATGATAGATGGTATTTAGAACAGAACCTACCATATCAGTGCAGTAAACAGAATGACAGATGATATTTGAAATAGAACCTACCATATCAGTGCAGTAAACAGAATGAGAGATGGTATTTAAAATAGAGCCTACCACATCAGTGCAGTAAACTGGTAAACCGAATGATAGATGGTATTTAGAACAGAACCTACCATATCAGTGCAGTAAACAGAATGTCAAATGGTATTTGAAAAAGAACCTACCATATCAGTGCAGTAAAGAAAATGACAGATGGTTTTTAAAATAGAACCTACCATATCAATGCAGTAAAGAAAATGACAGATGGTATTTAAAATAGAACCTACCATATCAATGCAGTAAAGAAAATGACAGATGGTATTTAAAATAGAACCTACCATATCAGTGCAGTAAAGAAAATGACAGATGGTACTTAAAATAGAACCTATCTTATCAGTGCAGTAAAGAAAATGACAGATGGTATTTAAAATAGAACTTACCATATCAGTGCAGTGAAGAAAATGACAGATGGTATTTAAAATAGAACCTACCATATCAGTGCAGTAAACAGAAAGACAGATGGTAAAATTTTCATTTTATCAAAAATGAGGACATCTTTTGAGTATGAAACCCAAATGCCCCTTTAAGCCTAAAATTTGGGCCCAACTAGATCCGCCGTTGATACTGAATACTAGTATTCAACAGCAATTATCCATTGTGGAGTACATTATGTACGTATAATGTATGAACAACATATATAACTTTATATATTGAACAACATATTATTTGTAGATACACGTCATACGTACTTCATATCAATAACAAAAAATGTTCTTCATGTTTCTCAAAACCTTATCTTATCTGAAAGAACAATGTTATCAATAAGTAAACCTATTCAATCAATGTTAATTGCGTATTTTGCATTAAAAATATACCATTACTATAGCGGTACAGGTGTTACCTGAATTTATCGCAGTTGTTCAGTAAATTACCATGTGGAAAGAAGCTGTGCTGATTTGCTGTGTTGCCCTATGGTTAGGTAAGAACTTGAGAGACCGTACTTTATTCAGTTAGCTTTAAACTGTACGTCAATTCTATACAGGATCAAACAACAATTTTTCATGGTTAGCTATTACGTCTTTGTTTGAAATTGAAAAAAATATACAAACTCAATGGTTCATATACAATGCGTATCAAAAAACGCAACAGATTGTTATCTCGGAAAAACACAAAATCAGTGATAATAGCATTGCTTTCATTCAATGTACCATAAGGCCATGTGTCTCCTCTTTACAATAGTATCATTCGTTGATATTGGGTCATGTTTGGGCGAGTAATCTTTCCTTTTGCAAAGTGGACCAAAATTACCTTGGGACAAACATCGCAAAAGTCAGTGTATGGGGCCCAATGCAATATCGGAAGAAACCATAAAACCAATTATGACTGCATCTTTTTCATCCAATGTACCAAAAAGCCAAATTACTCCTCTTTGCAATGGAATGTCATTCATTCACAGGGGGTCATGGTTGGCCGAATAATCATTCATGTTCCCAGTCTCCTCCATTCAAGTCGAGATGGAGAGAGCGTGGCTTACCACGATCAGTCTCCTCAATAATTACTTAAATATATCCGACTGACACAAAATTTATGTTTTCAATTTATTTTGTTCATCTGAACTTACACTAATAAGAGATTAACTGCATACACTTTAGGTTTACCATGTTACAATTTTTTCGACTGAATACCTCTGTATCACGTATTGTTTATTTTCATTTGCCACTAAAATGTGTATAAACTTATAGTCAGTGATTCATATAGTTCAAGAAAAACTTTGTTTACACGTTGAAAAGTGAAAATAAGGAAATGCTCATAAATTCTTAAACCGAATATCAGATAATTCTTGATTAAGTTGTAAGAGGATATGCTTTGAATGAATAGGAGGAAGCATGACTCTGACTGGTTTGAAACGTTCAAAGAAATACGGAAGTAAAATACGGTTATAGCTACACATGAATGTGTGATGACATGAATCCAACTAAAGTGGTTGATTTTTCCTGAATAAACCATAAATAGTTTAACAAAGCAAAAGTTAATTATAAATATGACCAAAAACATTTCACAATGTATATGAAAGGTGTTATTTGAGAAGTATAACATAAGTTTTCATGACATTTGTCCCACATATTCCAAGAAATTTGGATACAAGTAACACATAGCAATCTGCACATTGTCTGCAAGCGGATGAAAAAAGTGTTACATACTCACACCTATCTTATAGGATATACTTTGTAAGAGAAACGTGTTATTTAATTGTGACTTGTAAGGATTGGTATAAACATAAGCCTTGTAAGTTCATTTGAAAAAGCCTACAACACGAGCAATATACCTTGGAATGTACTGTGGAACAGCTTTAGTTTAATAGATAACTATGGTGATTATATGCGATGAAAATGATGCGAGAAGCAATGATGACCAAGATAGCGATGACTACACCGATACAGCACATGTTGACACACCAAATGTGAAACGAAATGAAACTGGGACTCATTTAGTATACAATACAACTAAACAAACTGACGAAAGGCCATTTAGGAACATTCATGAAATACTAATAACAATTGGAAATGAGGATTATATGCCATTGATCTTTCCAAACAGTGTTCCCGTATCAGAAAATGATGACAAACTTACTCGTACTCAAAGTCATCAGCAAACAAACGATGAGAGATCCATAAACAACAATAATGATTTACATGTTTCAAAAAATGATGACAACCCTGATATGAATGACTATCTTGAAATCTTGGAAAATGATGAAAATCTTTTAACTGATGATTATGACCCTATCGATGGGTTGCAACAGGGCACAGTGGAAGGAATCAATAATATTAATGATCGTACTCAAAATACAAAAACTACTAATGATAAGATAAGGCCTATGCCAGCCCTTCCAGATTTAACACATATTCAAAATAAAGGACTTTTTGGTACTTCCCGACACAAGCAAAATGAACATAAATCAAGAGAAAGTAGGGTTTTATCAGACATAAATATGTACGAAGAAATTCCATACTATCATTATGTTGGAACGCACGAGTATGCCGGTGAAAAGAAGGAAAACGGAAGTACTTCATATATCTGTAATTGTTCCAAGAAACTTAGGATTTTGACTTTGGCCTTTGTTGCAATTGTATGTATTATAGGGGCATCCCTCGTAATTCCAAATACGTTATATGGAAAAGGTAAAAAGTGGAGACGCGTTTGTTGGGAAGTTCTCAAAGATCATTTCAGAATTATATACATGTAACTGGGGTTTACATGTCAGACATACGTACACATAATCGATTTCTTCAACTTCTGGAAGTTAGATAGATAATTTATGGATTATGTACCAGCAGAATAATTTTCTAACTGTTTTTGTGATTTTAGATAGTATAAATGATGTTTATATGCCTGTAATAGTGAAATATACACACATTATACCAGAAACTTGATACAGAATTGACTCATCAGAAAAAAGTTCCAAGAAGAAGACATTTAATAGTCCATGAGTAAAATTCGACACTTCCGTTATCAAACATCACGATCTGTTGAAAATTGATTATTTTTGTTATTTTTTTAAGTGAAGTCTTTCAATTCCGTTACACACGAAGAGACTTAAATTAGAACGTTGGAATTGTATATTTATGGTTTCTAAGTCTTGATGTTATAGCTTTTGAAACAGTTGTTTATGTATGTCGGACATATAGAAGCATCCAAATACAATCGTTTCTATTCTAGGGAAAGATGTCATACTTGGTCAACCAGATGAAGTGTGTTTAGCGTGTATTTGTCAAACAGAGGGTTGTGAGAGAAACTTAGGGCGCTGTGAGCAAGATAGCGCTGGAGAGTGGAGATGTGGACCCTTCAATATTGGCGAAGCTTATTGGACTGATTGTGGACGTCTACAAGGAGGTAATGATCTACGTGATATAAGGATATCAAGCTATCATTTATAAATGAGATCATTCATGAGTTTGTTGTATGTAGTTCAGAATGAGGGGAATACAATGCATTTGCAATTAACAGAATGTTTTTTTCTCGGCTTACTTTGACCAATTTGTGTTATTAAAATAGTATGATTCAATTGTTAACATTTTGCAGGTCGACATCGAGCATCTTTCTTTGCGAAAAATCACTAATTTTATACTTAGCCCGTGTGAAATGAAGTAAAACAACGTATTTTTGTTTTTTTAAATATAGAGTTCCGGACATGTACTATGACAATGGAATGCTCTCAACAGTGCGTGCTAAATTACATGGCTAAATATAACATGACATGTGGTCATGGCGAAAAGACATGTGAACAGTATGCAAAGCTACATCACCATGGCTCGGGTGGAGGATGCAATAAAACTGATTCATCTTATTGGAGGGAGGTCGAGAGATGTCTGTACGGTTAAATACCAATTGAAATGGATTCAAAATGGATGAATTTAAGTGCTATAATGCGCATTTGACTGCACACTGCTTGCTGTGTATTGCATACCCAAATTTTTATCATTTGAGTCTTTTCAAGCTGAGGATAGAATATTTTGGGATGGTAAAATAAATAAAATTTTGATTTAGAAAATGTGGAGCGGAATAAATACGAACATAAATAAAGATGGGCTATCAGAATTCAGAATTGAGTTTCTGTTTACTTTCTTTTCCATAGAATTGTTCCATTGCCCAAGTGATCGAGCTCAAATAAAATCAGAACATTTTCCTCTTCACAATTATCCATATGGGATCAAAATCAAATGAAAATTAGAACAACACACCGGAATAGCCTGACAACGGTATAGTCAGATACCGTTGTCACAAATGGCGGACATAACCGTAGCTTCAATTAGATTTTCATGAACTGTATAATAGAGCACCTAAACTAAATTCCTTTGGAACAACAATCAATCAACGTGTCTGCATTATTGTGCAGTTAATAATGTTCTACCATCGAAATAAAGTCTTTAATTTAATCGATCAAAATGAGATACGGGACAACGGAGACTGTAATTACCATATGTCTTTCTAAATTACTCAAATTCAGATTCCGTTGTCATTGACGATATCGAAGACGCTATATTGTGGCGATTCACGACCCAATTTGATCGAAATTGGGATTTCATATGAAACATCACCACAAGAGCTTAATACATGCACATAATTAGCGATGATAAAATCCCATGAAATGAGGACCAAGTGATTAAACAGTTGAAGCGACGGTTATGTCCGCCATTTGTAACAACAGTATCTGACGTTACCGTTGTCAGGCTATTCCGGTGTGAAAAAATTACCTTCATGTTGTTTTTATCACCAATGTCATTTACCTTTGAGGATATTCAATATTTATCCATAATACCGTCCTAACACACTAGTGATGTTGACGCCATCTACTAGTAGTCCTTAACAGGGATCCTCGATCATTATAGTGATATCACAACGTACCGTTTTGGATGGATTCCGGGAGTTGAGTTGTTATACAGATATCTACATAATATTAAACCACACTGATAAACGTGCCCAAAGTTACAAAGGGATAGACTGTAGAACATGAACAGAACTACTATCAATTAAAGGTAACATACATACTTTCAATTCAATTTAATTTATTTATTTCATAATTCTTATCTAATATACAAAAGCCGCTAGACACCCTCGTGAGTACTGTAGCTTCATTAAACTGCAATCCATACGAAAATACATGTAGGTTTCTCAAGAGCTTTATCTATCCGCTTAATTTTATGTTTCCCTCTGATAGCAATAACATATGTGTTTTTAGATGTTTCTTAAAACCTTATCTTATCTGAAACAATAATGTTATCAATGTTTATTGCGTCACTTGTATTAAAAATATACCATTGCTATTTAGGTGTTACCTGAATTTATCGCATATGTTATGTAAATTACCATGTGGAAAGAAGCAGTGCTGATTTGCTGTGTTGCCCTATGGTTAGGTAAGAACTTGAGTAACCGTCTCCATTGATTTATATACCTTTTATGGTTTACATTATTTTGAGCATAGTTATCTAATACCTAGGATGAAGGAAAGAGTATTTTGTTCACCCTAGCTTTTGGAGAAAATACTAGCGTATTTCATATAACTGAACATATGATTGACATAAAAACCTGGCCATGTGTGACATCTCTGGGACAACAAAAATGTCCACTTAGAGTGTGTTCCATTTACAGAATTTCATTTACACGAAATCAATGTGGGTCATGGATCCTTCATAATCCACTGGTGGATCTGGGGGAGGGGGCAGAAAAAATTGGGCCTTTTCGGGCATTACTGGGCTTTTTAAGGCCTCATTCATTTTTAATTATAGGGCAAACTTTGAAGAAAATGGGCCTTAGATTTAAAAAAAAATTGCCTTAAAAATGTTTTTTTATCACACCTGAAATATGGGCCCCCTACCATTTACAGAAGTGTTCCACTTATATTAGGAAGTCTTCCACTTACATTGGTTTCATTAATACAAAATGTCCTTTACAAACTGTTTCACTTGAAAGGTATTCCACTTTGACAGAATTGTTCCACTTGTATTAAGAAGTGTTTTATAGTATTTATAGAGCTTTTTATTAACATGAAGGCAACATACAGGGTGATCCAGAAGTAACGTCAAAGACATTGTAATTTCAAAAGTATTCATCAGATCTTCATGAAATTTGGTATACATGTACCCACAACATTTCTGAGTTACCATCTCAAAGATTGGAATTCAATCATTTCATTGGTTGAAATTATGGTTGCTATAGTAACCCGATATCGCGTAACCCGGGGCAAATTGAAGAGAAACCATAACGTTTTTGTGAATTTCTCTAATTTAAAAAGTCAGTCACATTTGAAAATGTTCATTGTTTGTTTTCTATGATTTTTATATTTGTTGCCATGGTAACAAATATGTAATAGTTGTGATGTCACAATAGGCATTCATAAAAAGCTTTCAATTTCTTTGAATTGCTTCCATCATCCATGACAAATACTACATGACCAAGGACACTAACCCACCCAATTCAAGATGGCGCCAAGTCAGAGTAAAATAGAGCAAAGAACAAACATTAAGTTCTGTGTAAAGTTGGGGAAAGGTGTAAAAGAGACTATAAGACAGATAAAGAAGGCATATGGTAAAGCTGCCATTGCTGAGAGAAACATTTACAGGTGGTTTAACAAGTATTCCAGTGGATATGATGAAGTGGTAGACAAGCAGCGAGGAGGCAGGCCAGTGTCGTCATTCGATGATCAAACCATCAAAGCAATTGAAGCTGATGTTATGGACAATAGGCAAATTTCTATCAGAGAATTGGCTGAAAAACACGATCTGAGCTATGGGACTGTGCAACGGATACTGACAAAGAACTGTCTGTTAAAGAAGGTGTCTGCTAAATGGGTGCCGCATGACTTGACACAGGAGCAGAAAGACCGGCGTGTTAAGGCTTCAAGGGACTTTCTTGCAAAATATCGGAGAGATGGAGATGACTTTCTTAACAAGATCATTACGAGTGACGAATCATTGCTATCATTCTACATCCCAGAGACCACGCAACAAAGTTCATCGTGGAAACATGACAACTCCCCAACACCAACCAAGCCTAAAATAGTACCAGGAATTCCACAAAAGAAACAAATGGTTGTGACATTCTTTGACATTAGAGGAATGGTGTTAACCCATTTTGTTCCCATTGGCCAGAGAATTAATGCCGTTTACATTGCAAAGGTAAGATATCATTTGTTCTAATAATACATCATACTGTGAATTTTATTTTTAAATTAAAGTATTTAAATGTTGTTCACTGTCAATATAATTATAACTCCATGGCCATGATTCAAATCCAAATCCAATCAATGAAACAACTGGTTTAACAACCATTAAACATTTGTTTTTCAGGTTCTGAAGCGTGATCTTCAACGTTCCCTGAGGAAAAAGCGTCCCGGACATCTGCAGCAGTTTATCTTGCATTGGGACAATGCCCCTACGCACACTGCAATCCTGACCAGCAACACAGTCCAAACACTTGGATTTCAACAACTTGAACATGCCCCTTATTCACCTGATCTTGCCCCCAGTGACTTTTATTTGTATGGGGAACTAAAAAGAAACCTTAGTGGAAATAATTTTCAATCCTGTGAGGAATTGAAAAATGCCGTAGTACTAGCCCTACAAGGAATGAGTTCTAATGGATTTAATTCTGTGTTCAAGGAATGGGTATCCAGACATGAGAAATGTGTTGCAAATGGTGGCAATTATGTAGAATGAACTATTATTAGTAACTGTGCAATAGTATGATTTATATTGTTGTGAAATAAAATGTTGAGGATATAACAATTTCAGATCTTGTTGATATTTTGAGATTACGCATTACACGTTAAGTAATTTGCCCCGGGTTACGCGATATCGGGTTACTATAGCAACCATAATTTCAACCAATGAAATGATTGAATTCCAATCTTTGAGATGGTAACTCAGAAATGTTGTGGGTACATGTATACCAAATTTCATGAAGATCTGATGAATACTTTTGAAATTACAACATCTTTGACGTTACTTCTGGATCACCCTGTACATATGATATTTCATAGATGTTTAAACACTGTTGCGAAGTGTTAAATTGAACATAATCATTATCATTTAGAGACAGGAAATCGTCAATGTACTTAACTGTACTAAAAAATAGTTTATGACTTTAATAAATCATCATGAGAAACAGGGGTCTATTTCTCCAAACTCCGTAAAGTTACGGACCCGTAGAGTTACGATTTCCGTAAAATTTAAAAAAGTTACGAGAAAGATGCGGAGTTTCAAATTGCATTTCTCCAAACTCCGTATCGTAATCGTATCTTAGTCCGCAAAGTTACGGAGATATGACGTCATTGTGCATTGTAAAAGGCCCAAAAAATTATTTCAACTTCAAACAGTTAATGTGAACCTTAAATATTTTATCCGCAGGTATTTAATTGTTTGTGTTATATTATTTCAACATTTGAATTACATCCTCTAAATAGAATACAATAAATGAAGGTTTTGTTTTTAATTTTTTTTCACTTCGATTACCCCAAAAGTTTGGTCTCTCAGCAGGACGTTAAACTTACTATGAACTTTTCAAGGCCCCGGACTTGAATCAGAGAAATTCCAATTACGACTGGACAGCTCTACACCCAAAATATTGTATAGAGTTTGGTCGGATCTGAGAATAAGATATCTACTTCGAAGTTTGACACTTGCAATAATGATTTACTTGATGAAAAAAAATCCAAGATTTACTCAATAGCAATGTAAAGACATTTTCTTTAAAAACAATATCTTCATAAAAAATCAAATGGAGTTGCAACATCCAGCACTGAGTTAGCTAAAACCTCTTCTTTGCGTTGTATATTATGGAGTTTCTAGATCATTTGTCTGTGAACATATTCTGTCGTCCATTTTTGGACGTTATATGCGTTACACTTAATTTCTCAGTATGTGGACGTTCATATAGGGTAAAATACGAAGAAAAACAAGTAAAAGTAATTAAACGTAATAAGTGAAATCATTGAATCTTGGTGAGTAAACGATGAATTCTCGCGTCGGTGATATCCTCCTCCCCCTGGGAATAATTGATCCTATTCGCTATTGAATAATACAAATGCTGTTTTGAATAAGTTTCAGTTGTATATCAATAATTTCTCAAATTTTGTATGGAGTTTGGTCGGATCTGTGAATAAGATGTCTACTTCGAAGTTTGAAACACTAATAATGATTTACTTGATGAAAAAATTCAGACTTTACTCAGTAGCAATGTAAAGAAATTTTATAAAAAATAGAAATATTTTCATCAAAATGGAGTTGCAACATCCAGCAGTTAGTAGAAACCTCTTCTTTGCGTTGTATATTATGGTATTTCTAGATCATTTAAAGATAATACGTGGAAGATACGTTAGTTTTCCAGTGGTGTGTGGAATTAAACCTTTTTCAAGTCAGAACACAACTGTGCATTATATTGATTGCTAATCTTTGAACATATTCTGTCGTCCAATTTTGACATTAAATCAATTTTAATACATACAGGTCCAATTTTTGACTAAATTTCAAACATCTTGAAGTTTGGATTTTATTCTGGTATGCATGGATTAAGAAATTATGAAAGAAAGAAAATGAAGTGCTGATTATGCATCCAGCTATTTAATATTCACAAATATATACGTTGCCGTAATGCCGTCAATCTGGGAAAATATTTTGTCATCTGTCATTAAAATTAAATTCAATGCGTTCTGAGACCCCGAAAGATTTGGTTCAAGGAGAAACACTGTAATTGAGATTTTCAAGTTGACGTTATCAAAATTAGTAGTAAAATCCCTGCGACCTGAAAGTTATCTTTTAATTTGGTGCAGCTCGAAGGGATTTTACCCGGATTTTACTACCATCATCCGACCTCCCTGACTCAAGTTGAAGGGTTGACCCAATAAGTTTGTCTACTTCCACATGCGTTTTCGGAGACGGCTCCCAATTACCAACGGATATTATAGCGATTCGCACCCTTCTCACCCTTCTTAATCAGTTTTGATTTCTATATACCTCCTAAGAGCTGCCATATAGCAGGTAAGTGGTACTGATGCAGGTAACCATAGTAATCATTATGCAATAGAATGGAAATTCCTCCGTAAATAGTTATGGACAGGGTCTGAGGTGCCTATAAAGTTACGGAAAAAGAAGGCTATGACGTCATGAATATCGTAAACTTACGGAAATCCCACAAAATCCCGTAAATTTGCGATTTTTCGAGAAATGCAATCTCTCCGTAAGTTTGAGAAAGAACAATGGACTTACGGATCCGTAATTTTACGGAGTTTGGAGAAATAGACCCCAGGGGCGGATCTGGGAACCAACAAGGGGGAGGGGGCAAATTTCAGTTCAGAAAAAAAATTCCGCGCTTGCGCGTAAAATAATTTTGGGCCCCAAAACCCCAAAGTGGGCCCAAATTTTGAAATTTTGAGGCCCATTTTCTTCTAAATTTGGCCTGAAATTAAAATAGGCCCACTTTTTAGGGCCTTAAGGCCTTTTTTGGCCCAAAGATTTTTTGGACCCATTTTTTTGTGCCCACCCATGGCAAAGGGTGGGAGGCGTGCCCAGGATCCGCCAGTGGGAAATCATGGCCTATATCAGTTTCTCTCGAGTTGAGAAACAGAAAGATGTGATGAGTAGCAGAATCATGGTTCAGAATTAACACTTAGTTACAAATAGTTGATCAAGTACAGGTATCTTGGATTTCTAGGGAAAGATGTCATACTTGGTCAACCAGATGACATTTGTTTGGCGTGTATTTGTCAAACAGAGGGTTGTGAGAGAAACTTAGGGCGCTGTGAGCGAGATGCTACCGGGGAATGGAGGTGCGGACCATTCAATATTGGCGAGGCTTATTGGACTGACTGTGGACGATTAGAAGGGGGTAAGGGTCTCGTGCGATTTAAAACATTTCTAGTCATTATTTATACGTAACTGTAATAGACCACGCATGAGTTTGTTGAAGGTACATGCCAGGCCTTAGTCCGGGGTGTTTTGGGAGTTGATTTTGAGCCCAAGTTGTCAAACATGAACCCCCCTCCTGGAACCTTTTGAAAAGTGACCCCTCCCTTTGGCAAAAACTGGCTACGGGCCAGCATGAAGAGTCCCCAACCATGCTAACGAAAGGAAATTGAGGGATCAGTCCAGCATGCATAACATCGAATGCGTACAATTGTCTTTTCTCACACGCCATTATTCAAACATTTTGAGAAACGTACTCGTCGCAACCGAAAAAATCGCTATATCTTGGAAAATACTGAAGCAATTGTGATCTTTTTTCAGGAAAGAAAGAAGAGACTCTAAATGTATAGCTCCTGTAGTTATCCCACCGAATGAAGTTCGAGGGGAATACAGGAAAGCCGTCCGTTCGCCCGTCCGTTCGTCCGTTTGTTCGGTGTAAAAGTAATAGTAGTCCCCCGAAATGCCTTCTAAAGTCTGCCTGAATCAGGACGTCTGACTGCGTTTTGAAGGCATTTAGACCATGACTGTAAAGCCCCTAGAGTGATTTCGATGAAACTCTACAGATTTGTTACACATTGAATGAAGATATATAATAATTTGTATTTTTGAAGTGCCAAAACACTATGGTTAGGAAGTTATTTGGTTCTATTGCGGTTGCAATCACCCCGACCGCGTTTTGAAGTAGAACTGTCTTTTGAGCAGGTGTCCAAGGCATTTTTTTTTCAACTAACTACAGGAGCTATACATTTAATAAGATCTCGTGTTTCTTTCCTGAATAAATGAACACTATTGGTTTAGCATAGCGATTTCTTTCGATTTTCGGTTGTCTTTTTTGCACATCACCCTGTATACTGAGCATGGGGCGTTTTACGTGATAAAAACAGATAAACAACTTTATTTTCCCAGATTTTCCTGATGTTATTTTTTATTTTCTTTAAACAGAGTTTAGGACATGTGCCATGACAATGGATTGTTCTGTACAATGCGTCCTAGCCTATATGGAGAGATATAATACGAGTTGTGGAAGTACCCCCTATACATGCGAACAATACGCGAAGCTACACCACCATGGACCAGGTGATTGTAAAATAGGATCTGACTCGGATTATTGGAGAGAAGTCGAGAGATGTCTGTATGGTTGAACAATCAATTGAAATATGGATTCAAAATGGATTTGAAATAAAGTGTATTCAGCATTTAATTACAAATGTGAATATTCCTCAATTTTTTTTTATTTTTCGTTATTATCATACCAAACTTTCAAAGCTATTATATATGAATACTTTGACCAAATTGAGAAAATGTCAAATAATTTCGTAAATATGGTAAAAAGTTAGAAAGGATTTAATATAACAACTCCTAAAATCGTGAGTGTGACTTTTTACCATTAATTAACGTCATAAATTTGAGAAAGTCCTAAGCCCAGCAATGTGCTCAAGAAGGGGGTCTTCTGAGACATGAATCAAAATTGTCTTCATTCAAATAAAACTTTGTGAAAAATATCATTTATAGAATGAAAGTCCGATTAATTACAACCATTTTGTGATAGAAGTTGAGGTAATATCCTTCAGATTCAGAGGTTTCCCCTCAGTTCAAGATTAGGGGAAGGGGTAACATAATTACAATAAATGTGAAAGTGTATGATAATTATAACCCTTAATCTTTCTCAATGACCTATAAATATGTTATACATCCAATACTATATAGCTTATGCATATCAAACTTTATGTCAGATGTGATGTATAAATGTGTTTATTGAGCAAAATGGTTACATCCTATCCCTAATTTCACTGCTATCTAAGGCGTAAAATTGTCTAGAAATCATGTTTTAGGCAGGTTTTTGCACTTCCACAATTTTCTGTCGGTGTGTCAATGTTTATTTCAAACTTGTCAGTTATGACCAGTTTGGAATGAGTTTTAAACTTGTCAGTTATGACCAGTTTGGAATGAGCTTTACAATGGTATGAAGAATATAACATATAGAGAATGATGTCCTAGGCTTAGAGGAAAATGTATTACACTGAACAGTGTAATAACAAATTGTAATTTAAGACGTAATTTAATGGAAAAAGTCACATTAGTGAGTTTGTGAGACAATGTTTTTAACCATTGCTAACCTTTTTAAATTTTCATCTAATTTTTTAAGATTTCCACCAATTATATACAATATTTACGCCATGTGCCTCCAAGAGTTAAGTAATATTATACAAAATTTTGAAAATGTTATGACTGATAAAGGACCATGCACATTTTTTCTTTAGAGAAGGTATACAACCCACATCAAAATAATTTTTCTCGTTATAAACCTTTCCAATATATTCTGACATCTTTGATACACAAAAACAAGGATGTGTTTGTCAGATTTATGTGGTCAAATGGATTATTTTGGTGTAGGCAAAAACTGACGGGGTTTATTTTGATTATATTCAGTTATTTATAAGTGATTTTGGTATTACTAATGCCATCTATCTCGACATAATTCGGTATTTATACGAAGCCTATATACAAACTTACGCAATACGTTTTTTTCTATTCTAACTTTACAAAGACATAAAATGTTTTTTTCGATATAATAATCTCACACTTTATTGTGCAAAAATAATTTGATACAATGATTGATGAAAATGATTGTAAGGCATGCATAATCTAAAATCTACAATAAATGCAGAATTGCAGATTTCAAATACATATAATACGACTTGAATAAAAGATAAAAAATAAATAAAAATAGACTTGATGTTATTTTTCATAATCAGCAGCTGTTTCATTTTTTCTTTGACCGGTGTAAATGCTGAACTAGTTCAAAATGACACTTAACTAGTTCAATTTAAAGAACCACCAAGTCTATTTTAGTGATAATTTCTACATAATACTGTTATACGTTTGCATATTTTCAAACAAATGAAAGTTCCATTTGATAAACTGAACTTATTAAGCACTTTGCGAAGAAAATCTGTGATTAACGGTAAAAATGCAAGGAAACGATTCTAGGAACTGTATCGATTGTGCTCTCAACTTTCCCTATCTCATTCTAACTAAGATTGAGTTCTATGAAACGTTTCACAAGCATCAATATGTAGAAAGTGCACTATTCAGGCGAGATGACATCATTTCTGATTCTATAGATAATTCTGAACGATAATACTGATGATACAAGCGGTGTAAGGTAATATTTTTATATACACTGTGTACCTCCCGGTCAACCAGATTCCTTTCAAATCGTCTATTGACCTGTTGGTACACAATAAAATATACATATTTACAATATGTGAAAAATATAGAAAAAATCATTTTATATTATAACTTAGCACTTATTTCGTGATAAATTATGCCCACCAATATTCCCGTAAGTTATATTCTGTTAGTCTTCATAAACTGGCCAATGGTTTACCATTACACCTTCCACTGAAGTTAACCAAGTGTTATGGTCTCTCTTCGGCCTAATACTGTTGGAGGGACATTACTGAGACCACATACCAAACTCGACCATGCCACATATTGTAACCCTCATTAATATCCCCTTGAAATGTTGCATTTTTGATAAAAAGCAAATACGAAATGGTTCGAAATGATTGAGTATAACAACCGGTGAGATTTTATATCGCGCCATTCACTCAAAAAGGGTTACAGTATAGTAACTGTGGGTAGTAGGCCTACGCTCTCCCGCATGGTGAAATTTGATGTTTGACCCATAAATATGATATATCGTACATTTATTTGACCCGAAAAGTAAGATATATAGATATTTATGGGTCGGTACGCTGAGACTGTTCTTGCACCTCTTGTCGCTATGGCATATAGTCTTTCACTCTGTGTGTTTTTTTCAATATGTCACAGGCATTGAAAAAATTGGTCCTTGTTTTGGTTCCATTGGGAAGCCTTTGCGCATTCCCATACATGCTTTACCGTCAATGGCTAAAGAGTTCTCCTTTACGCTGATGTCGTGTTCCAGTGCTGATTTCGTCTTCATTAGTCTAGCTAGGGCTTGTTCTGATGTCCACAGCTTCTCTTTCAGGAATCTAATGCTCTCTCTCAGTTCATGAACCTCTCGTTGAAGTCTGTAAAAATAGTTTACATAAAAATAGTTTACATAAAAATAAATTGGGTTTCTTCTTCCAATGAAATACATATACTTTCACGGTATAGTTTCAAAGCGAGACATACCAAAGGACATTCTCTCCGTTAAAACCAATTTTTGCCTTTTTCTATATGTCTTTCCATGGGTGTATTTTCGCCTTCATAATTTGTTGCTACAAAGCATGTGTTATAGTATACCCTCCACATATGGTACCTAGTTAGGTAATATTAAACACTAGTTTTGTATTTCAGACGGCCATGTTATAAACAATCAGTAAAGATTCTACACTGCCATATGAACCAGAAATGAGTTTAGATTGAATCGAATACTATATACTTATTGAAATATAAAATTACAAACAGACCACCATTATTGTACTGAGTTGATGACTTTTCTGTACGGACAATGGTATACAACATCAATGGGATAATGCCTGGTATTCAGTACAGGACTTTGAAAATGTTACATCACAACAGGAAGGGACTGATTCAAGAAGTGGCAAATGTGACGTAGCCTTCCGTTTGCTCACGTTTCAGATGACGTTACTGAATGTGATAGCGTCAGTCAGAGTAAGAGTTGGTGTTGTATACGGGAAATGGATAGTGCTACAGGGTGTGCAAGGTTTGAGATGACGTCATTGAAATTGATAGTGTCAACCCAAGGAGGATTGGCTCCCAGAATGCAACACCGATATTCTGCAAAACAATCACCTAGCGATAGCTTTGTTGGAGAGTATCGGGTCATTATCCATGCAGTCGTACAAATTATACAGACACGAATAGCAAATGACGCATGCGTGGAGATTAAAGAATATCGAGTTGGAACCCTGGCTTCCAATCCTCCTTGGTGTCAACCAGAGTATGGCTTGGGATATTAATCGTGCTACAGGATATGCATGCCCGACTGTCAAACTCTTTTTTGGGGGGGGGGGTGTTATGTATTACTAAGCACAACATAGTACGTACCCCTTCATAGATGGATCATTGCACATCTCTACATTGATTCTACGTGTTCTCTCCTCCAATCGTGTCTGAGCAACCTTCATTGGGAGTTCCTTGTCTGCAATGGCCTTCCTCAATATATCAATGTTCCTCTCCATGTCAAAGATTTCTTGCATGGTCTGAAAAATAGAAATCATTCATAATTTCGAACCCATGACATCTTACTGTGATACAGTTCAATACCATAGCTTTCCAATGATACACACTATTGTTATGGAGTTGTAAATTTGAAAACTCCATAAATAGTGGACTTTTGAGGGTTTGCATATTCGGATAATTGTTTTGTCTTCACGCATACCATATTATTTAACGATTTTCAATTATATTTTAAGTGTGGTATTACAAAGTCTTGTCACGTTATACCGTGGGGCAAAATCATTTCATAACGGAGAATTGCGCGGAAGAATATCTGGGTTCATCCAGAGTTTAGACGCTCCTGGATCCATTAAGGCACAAATTATGACGTTATTGGATATATGATTTAAACTGTGTGGTTACCTAATTCGTGTAACATCACACGCCTTTGCCAAGATCCGACAAAGTTTCATAGAAATCTTATAGTGCTTGCTTGCACTTCATCAATTTTCGTTACAGTTAAACCAAAAGCTTATATTTCCTAAATAACATCTGTTGAAAGCCCATGTAAATAACAACAGATTTCCACATATGAAAACCGTAATTAAATATGATTAAGTATTTTTTCATGGAATACCATTCGATTGTTGAGCCATCATGATAAACCATGCCATCTCAAATCTTCTCAGCCCTGAGATGTTTCAGGTGAAACAGAAAGATGCTATGAGTATCAGAATGTTGTCCAGCCACAATAACTAAATCTTAACTGAGCTAATGATTTAGACTTACCCTCTGTAAGTGAGCCTGTAGTTTGTTCCTGGCATCAGAGGTCTCCTGGAGACGGCTGTTGAAGGAGTTATTCACAGAGTTGAACTGGCTCCACATCTCGTTGGCACATGCACGTAGACAGGCGTCGATCTCTCCTCGTAGTCTCTCGGAAGCAGCCCTCATCTTTTGGGAGCGAGCGATGTTCTCTTGTGTGTATTTCACCCATGAATAAGGGATTGTGATGCTACAAAGACGAATTAATCTATGAATTATTCGAGTGAATGGATGTTTCCTTAACTCTATATGAAGTTGTTTCTCTTCACTGTACATAGGATTTCTTATTCATTCCTCAGATGTTACATTGTATTTTAGTAAAATGGAAATAGATGTCACTGCGCTACAATGAATTACTGCAAAAGTAAAAATTCAAAGACTTACGTGTGGTCAACGTTCTCAATACCAGGGTGGTATCCAACTCCGGCAGATGTGTTGCGGAGTCCGTGCATGCGGTCATCGAGGTTCTGGGCGTGATTCTTATCCTTTGAGTCTTGGTCAAGGTCATGTAGCACAGCTCTGTCAAGCTTCAGTTGGATGGAAGCCTTCTCTACAAGTCTCTTCATCCTGTCCTGGCACTTCCTGATGGTACCAACCTCCTACAGAGAAATATTACAAAATGAATGTTTGCATACTTTCACATTCAGAGGGGTGTTTTGATGCTCTTTTGTTTATACTTTTTTTCATTTCTTTGTTTATACTTTGTACTTTAACTTTTGTCAACTAGTGTATTAGTTTTTCAATTAATTTCATATAATTATGATATTCATTGTGAGAATAATCCCTTGGGTCAAAGGAAATTATATTCCAATTAATAAAAGGTCACAAAGGGCGACATAGAAACAATGGCCTAATATCGATCGGGACATCACATCAATAATTCAGGTTGCCCATTGTGGGATCCACACCAGGGGATTCACAGTGTCTACTATATCTATTGGAATCTCTCACAAGCTTTAGATAAAGAGAGGCTCTGTTAAATCAGAATGTAGGTGGCCTTACCCTGGATAGCTGCCTCTCCACATCGTCATTGACTAAATCAATGCCCTGTCTCTTCTCACGGTGCATACAGCACTCTTCGGCGATATGAAGAGGGTTGTTGGAATCCATTAGAGCCTTCTCCAGCACACGCTTATGTTCCTAAAACACAGACGAATCATTAGCAGTGTTATTATCGGACATAAGTTCAGTTTCATTCTACCCTGTACAGCGTAGACTGGGTGTAAAATTCAAATAGAGGAGGCATATGATGAAAAAGAATGGACTTCGTTTAAGCACATTAGTTTTGATTTGGCGTAGCTGATGGTTGTCAGTACTTTATTAATGTTATTAACCTAGAACGATAATGATAATATTTCCAATGCAAATCGCATTTCACCTCGCCTGGGTGATGATTAAATGCCCTCTTAAAAGTAATATCATTGATCTAATAATGGGGTGTGATATGACACTTTGTGGTAGGACAAAATTACTTACTCTCAAGTTTTCGATCTCATTCTGCATAGCGTCCATTTCGGAGTGCAGTTCTTGTTTCCAGAATGCAATGTCCTGAGTCCTCTCGCCGAGTTTCCTCGTGTTTGAGAACTGCCTGTTACGGGTTCTCGCGTCGCATTCTTTGACGGTCCTCCAGGCGTCGGCACGAATACTCTCTGCGGCTGCTCTTTCTCTGTCTGAGAGGTTGTAGTGACCCCTGTTAGAGTTGGCCCAGTCATTTTGTGTGTATCGAGAATACAGCACATTTCTAAAAAAATAAAGAAATTTGTTCTAAATGTGATTGTGTTTTGGCCCAACCAATGATTGCATGCTTCCAACGAATGTCTGTTCAAATGAACCTTGAATCCGAATTTGTGTAATAAAACGCCGAGAACGAACTATATTTGTCAACTTTTTTTGTCTTTTATTGGCCACATCCAACTGAATTTCAAGTGTAATCGTTAGTGAATAGCGAACTTTGGCTTCAGGAGTCATAAATTGTAATCTGTGGTTAATAGGTTTATGAAATACATGTATATTGCTTTCGTATTTGTTGTCATTACTTGCTTTTGGCGATGATAACTACTTCATCTTAAGGCATCATTCATTTGATTACTATATCCCATGGAAAAGTCTATAAAACAAAACGTTTGTAAGCTGTGTATTGTTACTATGGGAACCAGAATTATAAAACGTTGCTATAGCAACCATAATCAATTATACCTGGCAGGGTTGTAGTATGTCTTTGCGTGTCCCAGATTCTTGCTCATGTGACTAGAGATTGTCTTGTCCGTCACTATGGGGTAAGTATTCGTGAAGGAGGGTGTCCTGGGTGACTGACTCACACCTGGATGCCTCATCATTGGTGATGCGGAGTAATATGCGGTTGCCATATTTCCTGAAAGCAGACGATATATAATATAATCCCTCTATTACTTTTCAATAAACATTCAAATTACTTAGTTTATACTCGGAAATTGTGATATCAATAGATTAGTTTGTTTCGTGACGTCGAGAGTTATTCTGACACGAAATGTTATTTCTACAAGTGTCAAACAAATCAATCAAGTGTTCGGCATTGGGTACGGGTATGGAGACATATCGGTACAATTTCGTTGAGCGTTTCTCACCAAGCAACCATTGTTAGTCGGAAGCCGTTATCATAAATTTCAGTTTATTGTTATTATACCACATGTAAAGGGAAACAATGAAAACTGTCTGGATATACTGTTAATATAGTTGTATAGTGTCTCAGCGTCCAATTATATTATTTTTCAATGCTAAGTAGTACTTCTAAAATATTACTTTCACGTTATTCTATATCGAGTAAACTTTACTTCCAAGCCAAATATTTACAATGGGCAATGGTCAAATAGTCCTCAGTAATTGAAAATTAACTTTTCCCCAACCTGTCAACCTGCTAAATTGTACTTATTCAAATCTTTTGTAGTTTGTAAGTGCACGTAAAATAACAAACCCCGGTGTCCCTTTAACCCCAGTAGGCTCCGAAATTTTTACATTTTCCTTACAAAAATGTATAATTTGTTTATGTCTTTTTAATCTAACAACTTATCAGCAAAAGTGCCATTGCAAGTTCAATCTTGCAATGGCCATAATGCATAAGCGAATCAAAGTTGCAATTTTAATATAGAGGTAGTCGATTACACGGAATTGGAAGTAATGTGTGTAATCATTGTACTCATGATGAAATGATGGACGGTTATCGTTTTTCAGTTTAATTGATTGTATCAACCGCATTTGCGTTTAATTACAAAGTTCAATCCATCATCTACTTTTTAGAATGTAGAATGACAGGTTCGAAATCCGGTATCATTAAATACTTAGAGATAAATCTATACATCCAGAAACCTTTTGATGCATCAAGTCCATGGCGTACCCAAATAACACTTATAATATCACAAGTTCCATTGCGGGAATCGAACTCACGATCAGCCACATCGTACTGAAGATAATTTCAGAGGGTTGTCAGCCGGGTTGTCAGTCACTGTTGTTATTGGCTACAGCGTGTTATACTTTGTAGGGTTAACATACGAGTCACTTTCTTCTCTGGAAATGTTAATTCATTCCCATTGTGAATTTTGTGACATCATAAATAACGCCCTTTAATACGTCTACTGCATGTACGACGGAAATTGAGTGTGAATTAAAGTTGTATCGTTCACAATATTGTTGGTAATTTACCAGATACTCCCTTTAATTATCGCTGGTATGTACGTATGATTGGATGTGTGGATTAAAAATTATTTGAATCTTCCAACAATTTAGACATTTCGCCACTATTGCAACAATAGTTTCAAACCAAATTATTAGAATGAGAAAAACAGCTCTTGAAAATAGGAAACGATACCTAGCCATTGTTTTCTGTTTGGAAATCACGAAATTATTTCTTTCATCCAGTCAAAGCGATCATTTCGAATGAGAAGTTAGATAAGTTTAGATCATATATTGTTGTCTATTACAATGGAACATGAAGAGTTATTCATTAGATAAACAATAACCTTGTCAAACAAAATCCAATATTTGTAACAGACATGTCTGAATACAATTAATCTCGATTTTATCATGGGATTAATCTTTCTCTTGGACCTTAGGTCATTAATTATTTACACGAATATATTGTTTGAGAACCAACCCCCTGCCAATTTTGATCACGGTTTATGGACGACCATACATGGTAACGCAACGGTTGCTAACATAACTATGGAGTTTTCGTATGTGATTCTAAACAATCACGCGTGCAACTGATTTATTTTTTTAATAATGTAGACAGTTTTTCATGTAGACACATGATAGGATAAATGCTTTAAGGCTCTAATAATGTAGAAGTCAGTGCAAAATGAAGAATTTGAGACAAATATATAAATATAGTTAATATAAATATTGTATATTGTACACCGAATAGAACTTTTAAGCTAAAGCACAATTACCTTTTCCAAGAATCCTTTTATCTTATAATCAACTATGTTTCCTAAGTCTAAATCAGTTTCTACAGATCATGATCACATACAGATATTTCTATTATACATCATATCACTATAAACAAAACAACAGCCACGCTATGACAACAAGAGATAAGGTCCTCCTACCAAACTCGTAAATGTCATATGTAGAGCCACTTTAGGCACTTATGTAGTCCATAATACCGTTCACTGTTTAAAGGGCATTGTTTGCTGCCCATATGACGCATCTGTATCAGTAAAAGGTCAAGAATAAAAAGTAATTGTGATTATTTTAGTGGTACACATTTTTTATTTTGAACATGTTCTTTAATGGTCACTAGGAGCAAGTTGGCCTATGTGATACATGTACTGTTGATTGCTTTTGGTGAGGTCATTAGTGACATTAGACACATCAACTATATCCCATTGTCCGAAAGAGAAGTCTCTCAGCTTAGTTTTCTTTAAGATCATCGTTTCAATGTTATGTAACTGAAGTTCTATTTACGGTTTGAAAAGAAAAACATTAATAAAGCAAGTAAAAATGAGGGACGATTAACATTGAGGGAGTTCAAGCCTAGTTCACGGGAGCGCTATCTTGCTGAGTGATTTCTCCTTTAGGATACCACGCTACATAGTTGATGTATATAAAGAAAATCAACAACTTTGTTAATAGTATAGTTGATGTAGTTTCTCAACTTTGACATCAGATGGTCTCACCAAAATCAACCACCTAACTTATACAAATATTGAATAATCTTCTTGATTAAGTCTATGAATAGAGTTCCATGTTCGGACTTAATCTCTGTCAGACACCTAATAAAAGCGCAATACAAATATACATTGTGGTTGTATCTCAAGAATGCTTTTATAAATATCAGTGGAATTATTGATATCGTATGATAAATTGATGAGAAAGTGAAATGCCATACCCGTACCTCTGTGATCAAAGGAATACTAAATTAGATATTGATTAAACAGCGACCATCCTTTTTTGTGGACGGAAACAGAGAAGTCTTCCCTTTTCTGAATTACCATTGTTACCTTGGAAACCGAAGATGTCTAAATACAGAACAGTTATTCAAACAAGGAGAAGTATCTGAGTTCTGTTTCAAAATGTTTAAGTTGAAGAACTGAAACCCTAAATAAGTCTTAAATAAGCCTGACAGTTATACAGTAACACATGTACGATAGAACACATTTCTGTAATAATAGACGCCTGTTTACGAACGAATTTGGTCGGTCCGCAGGGCGTTCCTCGGTCGCATGTTTTACTGTTCTACCAGAATATTTTTGATTTGATTTTAATTTTATAACGTATATCAAGATGAAAGAATAGTCAACTCATCAACTAAATGAAACGGCGAAATGAGAGCTTTTGGAATAAAGTAAAACCTGTAAAGTGGAACACCTTTGCATGTGGAAACTGGAAAACCTCCATAAGTAGAGCACTATTTTAAGGTGTTCAAATTACACAGGTTCTACTTTAATTCCTTAATAGAGACACTTATATTATTGCCCTGGTAAGTGGACGACTTCATCGTTAGGATTAAACTGACAGTGTCTAATTTATTATTTTCTTCATATTAGGCTCATTATTAATTAAAGTAATTTTTAGTTACTTAGCAACTTGGTATTTACTAAGCTTCTTAGCGCACTCCTGTGATTTACAGTGTCGCCATGACTTTATACACCTATTATATATTTCTTATTGTTTAGGTTTTGTTTTACTATTGTTTAACAGCAATGTCTAACTTTGATTCAATCTAACTACATAACTAGACCCTATGTCAAGTTTACAAGGTAGAATTCTTAACAAAAACGTCATTTATCAAATAGAGACAGTTTTTAGATTACATTATCAGATGTAATTCTTTTTTTAAGCTGTAATGAACAAAATTCAATGAATGATATGTTAGAGTAATCAAAGGGATGTACATGTCAAGTTAAAAATAAAATGTATTCTTGATATATACAAACGACCAATATTTTTAAGAACAACCCTCGTCTAATCATTAGTAAAAATAATTGTAAATTAACATTTCAAAAATATAATTAAAAGACAAAGTATGTTTAATTTGTTTAATTATTAAAATCATATCGGGTAATGTAATATCTTGGTGTTATATGATTATTGAATGTGTATTATTATGCTTGTAGGTAGTTCTTCAATAATACCATGCTGTAACTGAGTGTATCAGTGTATCATATGACAACGTGTTCACCATGTCGGATGTCAGCGTTAATTTTCCCTTACCTCCTCTTGGCGAACCCCTGGCTGATCCTACTGATGCTGGCCGCGGGGAAAAGGATACTTCTGCCATCGCTAATCACTCTTTAATTCAGTAAAATCGTGGCGAATTTACCCTTCTTGTTCCCTAAGTGTACTTCTTACTTGCTATATAAATACTACAAGTTAGCGTCGGTACCTTAGCAACGACCTCTAACCCCAAACACGTGACTCGCCGCCATTTATTTAACTAAGTCTATTGAACACTTATCCAATCTGTTTAAAGAGTGAATAGATTTCTGTAAACTTGATATTGATTACAAAGACTACTTTAGCTACTAGTTCTGAATGGATATCAAATAATAATACAACTTTTCTATTGATCATCGATTTCCTTGTCTGGGTTCAACACGTTGACATGGTTGTTATTTTACTGAAATAATGAGAAACAAGGAAAATCTGTAAAGTACACTCACGTAATCGATAAGACATTCTGAATTTAATGAGTTACAAAATAAATAATAAATTTATTGAAGGTGCGCTCAAATTTTTGCTGTTCTTAATTATTAGGCCATACTTTTGATTCAACTAAAACTAAAACTTCTCAAAGTGAAGAAAGGTTGTTGAAACCAGGTTAAAACATTTGAGATAAATTGTCTTGTACTACAAATCTAATTTCTTTATTTGGAACCTTAATCATTGGCAACCACATATCGGCGTTTAAATGAGTTAGATAGGGGGGATTAATGCATGGAATGTATCCACTCATACCCTTTGCAGTCGTTTGATTTCGCCTCTTAAAAGAGAGCTTCATCCTCATAACGAGACTCTGCGTACGTGCATGTCAACTAAACCTCAGAATTCATTTAAATGGTTTGACACTGTGACTTTAAAGTTCTGAATTTACTTGGCCTTCCATTCTGTAAGTAGATTTTCTCATATTCTGTTTACTATAGCAACACCTCACGAAACATCCATATATTATATACTTTAGAATATTGTAACCGTATTTGGTTCTACAACTTTATTGTTAAGATCAAGAGCATAATTTTACTTTCAACGGTTAAACAAACTAAAACCTTAGTCGAATCTGTCTTAAGACAATGATGCAACGATAGCGGAATAAATACCCGGGAATAAATATTGGACTGATGACACTACACCGAATCTATTAAACAAATACATTGAAATCAATGAAAGAATATATGAAACAACAGGCGAAGGAGTGATGCTCTGGAGACGTTTGATTCTATATTTCACACATGCCTGATTTAATTGACACATGAAGTCAGTGAAGAACATAGTCCTTAAGAAAAGCTGTTTTTAGAAGAGACCTGACACAAGGCTTGATTTACTTATATGAAATTGTCTCTTATGTTCATCGCCATTATATTATCTTCAAATGCGCCAATGAGGATTTAGACGAGCAATATAATAAATTTTTCGTCCATAATATTATAGTATGTGTAAACAACTGGCAACATTAAAATTGATGACATATACAATAAACTTACACGTATCGTAACCCCAAAAAGCAGTCAGTGTGTTGGTTGCCAAAGTAAAAATAAATAAATGACATAAACTCTAAAAACTTCACGAAACCCCAAAAAGCAGTCAGTGTGTTGGTTGCCATAGTAAAAATAAATAAATGACATAAACTCTAAAAACTTCACGAAACCCCAAAAAGCAGTCACTGTGTTGGTTGCTATAGAGTTATTGTATTTTCGTAAATAATTAAAGCTTGTACATGTATGTTATCAATAATTCCTGGTCATAAGACTCAATCATCATAATAATGCTGTAATACACGTAAATAATTAATCAGGCCACCATAGTGAAAACGAAACATTAGATCGACTAATATTCAATAGATATCAATAGAGGAATTCACTTGGTCATATTGTCTATATGTACAGTAAGTAAATTAGACTTCAACAATCTGAAAGTTAATGCCAAAAACACTTGTGGTGTAGTTTGAGTATAAGATATGTGATTTGTTTTAACAGCTTGAACGCGAAACCCAAAACCCACATTTGGATATTGTAGTGTTCCTGAAGCTCAGCGATCCATGAAATGTAAATCTTATATTTTTTTTTCCATACAATTCTTTCTTTAATCATTTTGAATCTGTACGATTTATGTAATTGCTCTTAATTTACAATGATTAAACAAGGACAAACTCTTTTCGGAAAAGTAGCTCCTTTCGGAAGTTGCTCTCAATGTGTATCTAATTTTCGCTTTAATTATCTAGATTATTGATTGAAATTTTCCTGCCTTGATTTTTATGCAAAACAAAACATTTGTACAACACAATTATGTACATGTACATATCGGTTGACCTTGGGCCTAGTAGAACGAACTCTTTCTCATTTTCCATTATATCTTCGAAAAATGTTATATAAACAATAATCTTTCAGTCGCTGTAGAATGTAACAAGTAATTCTAAACATTCTTAAATTGAATTCCTATGACTAATTGTTCTTTCACTGTCACATTTTAGTGATTTCCATGCAATGGATTTATGAATCCTCATCGCAAGGAATGCTCCCGGGGACATAAACGCATCTCGGGAAATATGTAGCCTAATCATATCTCTTGGTAATACTATTTGAATGTTATATTTGATACTGCTAATTATCGTTTCATTGTCTAAATATAGAATTGTTATAGCTTCTAGTATATTCTCGGAAATCTCAATCGTGATTTTCTAAAACTATGATATTTGCAATAACATATTTTATTTCATTTGGCTAAATTATTTTACTAATAACTGTCATCTGAAAGTCTCATTTATTAAGGAGCATGTATATAAAACACAAACATAAGAAAATTATTCCATAGTATTTTGATAATACTAATTGATTTATTAATTTAGCTTATGAATTTCTTGTTAAGATTGGGATGATTAAAATACATGTGCCATGTGTGTATAAATAAGTCCGGTCATCTGGTTGCTAGGTCAGCCCATTTGGTAACTATGTAACAATTTTGACTAAAAATACGAAAAAAAATTCAGCTAGTTCACAGAATTGGTGTCCTAAATATACCACATCGTGTAAGCCTGAAATAAGATAAAAAATATTAAAGTTTATTACCTTTTTCCAGCTAACAGTAGACAACGTGAAAATGTCTTCCGACTCTGGCCGTCTTAGAATGATAAATAACGTTGGCATGCAGGCCCTATAAACCAAGGGGTAACATCGAGTGTTATGATGTTATGATAAATCAAATAATCCTTTTATCGAACAGTGAAGCTTAATGGATTATTTAAGAAGTACAATCGACAATATGGGATTTATTGCTCAGCTTAATGTTGCGTATTGTTCATGCTTAGCAACATTGGTGACAATGAGCGGGGTTCTTTGTACAATTTAATATAATTTTGGTTTTATAAAATATCGTATTGGATAACAAAATAACTAAAGTTATCCAGTTATTTGCATTGAAATAATAAAAGCAATTTCCGTGACTGATTGTTGACTTTAATGAATGACAATAATTGTTAAATTTGTTGAATCAATCCTATTTTGATCATTGAGGTCAGGGCGCGTTGGTCCAGCGAAAGAACGCTGATTGACAGCCATGTGTTTTCTTTTAGCGTCATTATGAACGAGTGTATCTTGACTCATATAGACCATTTAACATCGCATATTACGGCTATATGTAACGAGGGGGGAGTTCTCCGATACGCTAGAAAGTTACATCATTATTTCAATCGACTGGCACTGTTTCGAATTTCGTTATAGGCTATCAAAAGAAAAACGCTTTCAAACAGTAGTACTCACTAGTACTGCAATTTGTGTCGGTGTGTTTGTGTAGGTTAACGGGGGGGGAGCGAGTTACATGGGATTGAAGTAAAGTCAGGGAGAAATGCAATTACATGTCACTATAATATATACACTTCCCTTCCCTCCATAAGTTTGACAGCAGGAAGTCTTTAATAGTAATGCCTATTTATGTATAAATCTTTATCATGTTCCTTTTTACAATATCCGAAAGTTTATGAGATACGATACATTTTTCAAATAGCCAAACAGAAAGACGCTTTCAGAACGATCCAGGAGGGGTTTTCCGGTTGGCCTGGTTTGGGGCCTGGTTTGGTTTACTATTGAGATTCTTATTTCATTTTTATTTTTTGCGTATAGCTAACCAAAATTTAGGATTTGATCGCGGTCATTGTGGTTGCCTATTATTCCTAATAGTATTTCTCTGTTGCTCAAAAGTATATTATCAAATAGGACGGATATGCCGTTCCAAAAGTTAGTGACTGTCGCGCATTCAAAATAAAAATCATGGGTTTCATCTATTACAACAAGATTGCACTTGTCGTATTATTTAGATTCTGTAACTTTTCTGTTGAACAGAAGTTACAAAGAGTGAAGGTAAGTAAGAGTTTGTATTGAAAGCTTTGGATCTTTGGCTCCCGTGGGTTCTTTGAATTTATCATGTATGATATGCTAGTTTACTATTTTAGTGTTAATATGTTTAATGTTTATCATAGTATTTTTGATTTGTTAGTCATTAGCTCCTAGTGCATTAATTAGCATTATTGTTCCAAATTGGTTCGTTCATAGTAGTGGACTTGTCATAAGGTTCAGCGTTGTGAATATTGCTCCAGGTTTTCATTATTTAGAAATATAGGCAGGCAAGTTGTTTTTAGCTTGATTTTTTGAACTTTGCATGAACATTTGATTCAAGGTTTGGGAATTCTTTATAGCGAAAACGTTTCCATTTAGACTCATTATTATCATACAGACGTTTGACACGTTGCATTTGCAATGCTTTAATCTGTGCATCGAAAAGAACGGATTCAATTCCCCATTTTTCTATTTTACCTATATATATAATAGGATTTATTAGAACTGATGCCCTTTTAGAGCCAAACGTACATGCAATATACAATTTTCAATAACAGTAAATATAGCAATAAAGTAAAGAAAATAGGAAACATTCTTCAAATGACATATAAAATGTTACTTTGATATAAGAATCCTGTCTCTACCAATCATTAGCAGGCCCGTCAGATGGGGGGGTGCGATGGGTGCGACCGCACCCCCCTTTTTGTAATTTTTTTTCATCATCTCATACACTTTTAAAGTGCCCAGAAAGCATCAAATAGCATCTTAAAATTGTAAAATTTTCTAGAGGGAGTGGGCCACCCCTCACAGCCCCCTCAATACAATGGAAAAGTT